CTCTCTCTCTCTCTCTCTCTCTCTCTCTCTCTCTCTCTCTCATAAGTAAATAAATAAATAAAAAAATATTTAAAGACTAAATATTAATGGTGGAAAATAGAAAAATGGGAGGGAAAAGAGAAAAGAAAAAAATAAGACTGAGTGATGATAATAAGCAAAGTTGTAGTTTTTCAGATGAAAGAAGTAGCACATTTGTATATTGAGAAGAGGCAAGAACAGGGAGTGCACAAGCAAGAGGAATAAGTGAAGAATTAAAGTCCTGGGATTACTAAAGAGGGATGAACATGAAAATGGATTGAACTAGAGATCATGATGTTAAGTGAAATAATTCACACTCAGAAAGTTAAGTATGACATGGTTTCACTTATACAAGATATCAATCAACCAACCTATCACCACTCTTATTCAATAGAGTTCTGGAAACATTAATCAGAGCAATTAGACAAGAGAGACAAATAAAAGGAATAAGAGTAGGAAAAGAAGAAAAGTTAAATTATCATTACTTTCAGATGACCTGATATTCTACATAGAAAAGCCCCAAAAAACTACACCAAAATATTTCTAGATTTAATAAGCAAATTCAGTAGCATAGCTGCATACAAAGTCGACACACAAAACTCAATAATATTCCTGTACACAAATAAAAAAACACGCCAAGCTTGGAATTAGGGAAGCTATGATTTTTCACAGTAACATCCAAAAAAATAAAATACTTAGGTATCGATCTAACAAGGGAAATAAAAGATCTATACAGTGAAAATTAAAGTACTCTGCCAAAAGAGAATGAAGAGGATTTCAAAAAATGGAAATATATTCCTTGCCTGTGGACAGGAAGAGTCAACATTGTGAAAACAGCCATACTCCCAAAACTGTTATACAGATTCAATGCAATCCCAATTAAAATACCATTAGTATACCTCAGAGATCTAAAGAAAACATTTCTAAAATTCATCTGAAATAAGAGACCTAGAATAGCAAAAACAATCCTGGGCAACAAAGGAAAGGCAGGAGGCATCAAAATCCATGACTTGAAATTATACTACAAAGATACTGTGATACAATCAGCATGATACTGGCCAAAAAAACCCCTCGATTTGAAAAGAAATAGGAGAATGTTTAATCCATTTCAACAAAACATATCCAGAAATGAAGCGCAGGAGAATCATCTACTTACAATAGATGACTTAAGTCACTGTCTTCACATTCTTATTCCCAGAATCCCAAGTCCTGATGTCTGTAAGACATTATCTATCCTTTCAATACACCAACCTACTTAGAAATAAATTATATCCACCTGTAAAAAAGTTCTGCCTGCTGAAGCTAAAAGGGAGAGAGACAGGAAGGAGAAAGAAACATGAATTTACAATAACCTGATCTAAACACAGCTGGGACAGCACAGGACCATTCCAGGTAGATGGGCTCCTATAGTGCTCTGGTGTAGGTAGAACCCATAAGAACAGGGCTGACCCAGGGACCCTGCAGTCAGGCTGTGTTCAGTGACAACTTCAATATTCTTATTCAATGTCTCCCACTAATGTCTTGGACATCTCCTTCAGGCCCCCTACTTGTTGACTTCATCATTATCTCTCTTTTCCCAAATCTGAATGTAAGCCTCTGACAGCATGATCATCTGGGGCAGGATGTCCATCACCTGGAGATCTTGTAATTCATACCATTTTCCAGTCCTGTGATGGAGCATATGGATGCAGTAGGAGCCTTCAGAAGGCTTGCTGTCATGCACAACCTTGGCAATGAGGTCATAGGTAGTGTTCTTGTGGACTGCTTGTACTTCTTCAGATAAGTATTCTCTCAGATCCACATTTGTAATAGGGAAGTTGACAATAGTTGGATTCTTCTCCACAAAGTTGTTCTTAGTGAATCTCTTGATACAAAAGATTAGATATGGTGGCAGTTTAGTGAGCTGGAATTACATTAGAAAGTTCTCCTTGAACGTCTTATACTCCTTCTCCCTGATGCCGTTGAACTTGGCCAGGATATTGAAGAGCAGCACTTGGGGGATGATGAGCTGCTCCTTCTTGTCTTTGTAGAGTGGGGCAGTTGGGAGGTCCAGCGTCAGGTACATAAACTTGGCCTCCACCATTGTCTTCTGTTACTCATCATTATGAAACAGCTGCTCTTTTTCCTCTGCTGGCAAATCAGGATGGGGAAGCTTTTAAGTGAAGATCCTCGTGGACCCCTGAAAAACATCTGTCACAATTGTGTTCTTTTTCTTCTTTGTGCCCCCCCCCATACACACACAGCAGAGTGCAGGGCATTCAGAAACCAAAACAGAAAGTTAATGCCATCCCTTTGTTTGGTGATCTGAAAAGTCTTTTTGCTGCAAAGAACAACAGCCTGAAGCATCTCATAGGGAGAGACATGTGCCTTGAAATTCCGAGTGTTCCCCAGCTTTCTCATGAGCTCTGCAGCAGGAACATGATGTTCCCTGGGAGGTGCTTGATGTTCTCATAATTATCTTCTTCCAGGAAGTAGTTCCAGAGAGGAGGAACATTAGACAGAGCCAGAAAGACAGCATTGGCGTAATAGTTGGCCTTTATGTTATTCAGTCCCACAATACCCAGTGGTAACTGGTACCATCATATGCCCGGGACAATTTGGCCTGCTTGTCCAAGTTTGCAATCTGCTGCTTTGTGAAAGTAGGCTTCAACATACATGATATCCTCCAGTGAGGAATCAATGATCTTGTAGTTGTCTGGAAGGCAGTAAAACTTGAGAGTATGGAGGTTGAGGAAGACATGGTGGTTAAACTGTACACTGTGAATGTAGGTTTGAGACTTTAAGCCCTGGCCTTGAAAGTATTTGCCACATACCAGATGGGCATATGAGTTGATATGAGAGAGTGAGATAGAACACAGCTTCTCAAAGTCAAAACCCAGCACACTCCTGTTACTAATATCCAGGTATGGGCCGTGGTGGCTCCTCCAGCCCTCAGAATCCATAAGACTATTCTTTGCTTGCACCTGCCACTCAGGCTCTGAGCCCTTGTTCACCTCGTGCTCCCACTTCACCAGCACCAGGGCATCTCGCTTTCTCCCCTGCTCAACCTCTTACTTCATGTGCACCAGGTTGCCCCAGAAGCTTGGGGCCTAAGTCTCCCGCTCCTGCTCCACACAACACAAGCTGCTCCTTGACTTGGACTCATGCTTCCCGCAGGTGGAAACATGAGACTACAAAAAACTGAGGATTAATGGAACAGATTAGAAGATGCAGAAACAACTGCAAACACGCTAAGCCAACTTATCTTTGACAAAGTAGTTAAACATGTTCTTGGGAAAAAGATAGCCTCTTTAATAAACAGTGCTAGAAAAACTGGCTTACTATATACTAAAGACTAAAACTAGACGCAGTTCTATCACCATGCACTAAAATAAAGTCAAATGGATCAAAGATTTAAATATTAAAACAGAAAACCCTAAATCTACTGGAAGAGAAAGTATGTAGAAATCTTGCAAAAATAAGTATAGGTAGAGAGTGCATAAACTAAACCCAAACTGCATGGGAAATATTTCCAAGAATCAACAACTGGGACTACATCATATTAAAAATCTTTTACATATCAAAAGAAATAATCAACAGAGTGAAAGGACAACCAATAAGTTGGAAAAAACTTTTAGCCAATTGTTCTTCAGACAAAGGACTTCTATCTAGAATATATAAAGAATTGAATACAAAAATACCCCCCAAATTCAAAGACCCAATCAAAAAATGGGCATCTGAGATGAATACACTTCCACAGATGAACCAATACAAATGGCAAGTAAATATATGAAAAATGTTCAACATCACTAATCATTTAAGAAGTGCAAATTAAGACAACACTGAGATATAATCTCAGTCCTGAAAGAATGGTTATCAAGAAAGCAACCAACAAATGCTGAAGAGACTGTGGTGACAAAGAAGCCTTTGTCCACTCTAGGTGAGAGTGTACACTAATGCAAGCACTGTGGAAATCAGTATGGGGATTCCTCAAAAAGCTAGAATTAGGAATTCCTCAAAAAGCTAGAATTAGAGATCCCATTCAACCCAGCTATTCTTCTCTTCAGTATCTTCCCAGAAGAACTGAAAACATCATAGCACAGTGATATATGTGGACCCATGTTTATAGCAGCAAAATTTGTCATAGCTAATTCCTGGAAACAACACAAATACTTATCAACCAAAAAATGAATAAAAAAGAGGTGGTATATTTATACAAGGGAGTACTAGTAAGCCATAAGGAAAGATAACCTTGAGACTTTTATAGGTAAATGGATGCAACTTGAGACCATAATCATTAGTGAAGTAAGTCAGGCTGTCATGTATAAACATCATGTTGTTTTCCTGGTGTGAGAAACTGCAAAAATAAACAATGTCTAAAATGTACAATAGATATTGTGAAATAGAAAGAAATTGTTGAACTGGAAAAAGAAACTCAGATTGAGTAAAAGTAAAAGGACAGACGAGAAAAGAAAGAAAATGGAAGTTAATTATACTATTAGTGTCTCTTAGTTCATAGAAAAGGGAAGTTTACACTAATATTGATTGTGGAATTTCTTATGTCCATATCTTGTACTCTGAGTAACTATTTTAAAGATAATATGTAATGTATTAACTATTGCGATGTTCGTGTTATCTTGTAAAACTTTTTTTTTTACTTTTTTGTAAGGTAAAAAATAATAAAATAAAAACAAAAGACTTTAAAAATCAGTGGTAAGATGACAAGAAACTAGAAGATAAACTTCAGAAAGAAGAAGGGTACTAGAGGAAAGGGAAAGGAGGATAATGGGGTTGCAAATGATCAAGATGTATTAAATGCATGTGCCAATTTCCCCAAATGAACCTTGCTTTTATGTATTCCTAATATGCTGCAATAAAACAGAAAAAAGGGATGAAAGACATGTGTATGGGGACAGATTTACCCTAGAGAGAAGTGCTATACTAAGAAGGGAAAGAAAAATACAAGATTGAAGAGGCCTGTAAAATAAGTTAGTAGAGTCAGGGGTGGGAGGAGGCATTCCTTTTCTAAGTACTTAGTTTTTAAATGACTTAAGAAAGAAGATCATTAAGAAAAGTGAGGGGAAGAAGGCAGTACTGAAGCTTTGGAGGAAAATAGAGATATGAAATAATTTCAAGGTATGGGAGAAGCAAGCTAATCAGGGAAGTAGAGTATAAGATGGTCAAGTATCATAAAACTTAGAGCCATCAATTTGAAGTGAGACCAGTAGCAGGTGCTATATTTTGCCTTGAATGTATAGTAGATAGATTTGGGGTCAATGTGGCTGAGGAGGATCAAGTAACTTAAAGGCCAGAGGTTTAAGTAGAAGATCCTTTTGGAAGTGAATGTTACAGAGAGTAAGCAGAAGAGTGGGTGTACAGAGCGGGAAAAAAAGGAAGAGCAAAGGTTTAAGGTCTTCTCAAAATGAAGAGATGACTTGGCCATCAGTAGATACAGATAAAGGTCATTAGTGGAACCAGGCCAAGAATTAAGGTGGAGAAACAGTGGGAGAAGAGTTACACTGCTGGTTTTCCACAGGAAGTGACTTTCCCACCGCAGGAGAGCTATGGCAATGTCAAGAGATAATTTTAATTTGCACAGCTCTGGGCAGGTGCTAGTGACTTCTAGAGAGTAGAGGTCAGTGCTATTGCCAAACATCTCCAAAAGCACAAAACACCTCATAAGAGTGACATAGCCCAAAACATCAACACTGCTCAAATTGAAAAGCCCTGAGTTACACCAAGAAGGTAAAGGCAATGGCCACTGGATAAAGTGGCCAGTCCAAAGGGGAGGAATTTGAGGAGCAAAAGTGTGGGAAGTTGCCTCAAAACTGGAGGCAAACAAATCACTAAAGGGAAAAGGATCCGGATGGCAAGAAGGACCTTGGAAGATTAGCTTTTTGGTGGTAACTGAGGGATGTCAGATACTATGGGTTTAATCCTGAGGAAAGAAGTTGAAGAGAAGTTCCGTTTATAGCTTGCTTCTTTGGACTAGTGTCTGGTGAGCTGTGGAGGTCAGTGGGGCAGAATGAAAGACGAATGGAGCATGTGTGCACATGTGTATATGCAAACACACACTCAGTGTGCTTACCAGGAAGAGAATACCAAAATGAGTACTCTTTTTGTCCATGAAAAAGGGATAGAATTTTGCCTCATATCTAGATAGGTGTTTATTATAAATAAAAAAAACTCAAAGTAGCAAAATTCTAAATTAACATGTCACATTTTGAAAACGGTGGAAACTGAATATGTGTGGTGTAAGAAAAAAAATCTGTAAAGTGTTACAGTGCCAAATGAATGTACCTTACATGTGTCATTTACATCCTGGAGGCTTCAAATGTTTCCTTTTTATTCCCTCTGTGCCAGAACACTGCAAATTTGGGGGAATCTGTAGCTGTTGGTGTTAAATATTTTACTCCTCATTTTCACGGGCAGAGTTATTAGGTTGAGGAAAAAGCTACAGATTTCTTAAATATATTTTCCCAAGGGGCTGGCCAGATAGCTCAGCGGACTAAAGCTCCTGCTTAGGCAAGCACAGTGACCAGGGTTCGATCCCCAGTGTGCATTTATGGCCCTACCCCCGGGGCCCGCTGAGATGGTGATTGAGACTGGGCATGGTGGTGCGCACCTGTAATCCCAGCCCTTGGGAGGCTGAAAATAGGAGGATCGCTATGAGTTTGATCTGTGTAGTGAGGTCCTGTAGACCCTACACTAAATACATTAAAAAAAGAAATATTTTCCCAAAATAAACCAGTGATTTCATTGAAGTTTTTTAAATTAATAGGCTGCATTTTTCAATAGTTTCAGTTTACAGAAAAATGGAGGGTGTGAACAGTTGCCATATAACTTCCTACTATTAACATCTTGTATTGTTTGCTACTTTTGTTACAGTTGATGAGCCAATCTCAATAGAATGTCATCAGTCCCTAGGTTTTATTTGCTTTACAGTAACACCAAAATGAATATGTTTTTACCTGGCCTGCAGTATAGCACAGCAGGTCAAGTCAGTGCCAGAAAGGAGCTCTGCTAGGCTAAAACAAGAGAAGCGGCTGGGGACTGCTGCTTATACATCAGCTACAGGTCTATTTAAGTGAGAGGCAAGACCGAAGCTTGCTACAAAAATTGGGTATGCAAATGTGCATACCAGTTACCTCCCTTCCTGATCTTAGCTGTGATGGAGTGTCCTTTCTCTTCTTTGTCTTCTTCTTTTATTTTATTTTTAATTTTTTTGTCTTCTTCTTTAAAAAAAAAAAGTAGTAGGAGTTTGGAAGGGGCACCACACTGCTTGTTTGGTTGTAGTTATGTTGAAGTGGAGCTTGATAGCCAAGGAGGACACTGCTAGATAGCTAAGGAGGACACTGAAGCAAACTGTCCTAGTTCACTGTGGGGAGAAGAGGAAGAGACAAAGAAGTCTAGGGATAAGGACTACACTGGCCACTGGACAAGCCTAAACCCCCTTCTCCAGCCCACATGGAGGAAAAAATGCATCTAGTGCTTGTCATCTAACTCATCCTCCAGCCCCTCAGAAAGATGTCATCACCCTTAATCTTCAGGGGAGATGAAGGTCAAAAGTCCATCTTCTGTAATTGCTTCAAAGCTGACCTACCTGAGTAATAATGTCCATTGCCAACTACTCTAGTGATACACTGAGGTACTAGCTCCTCCTCTGGAAACATCAGCTGGAAGTCCTGCATCATTATAAGATTAAGGTGGAATTTCTTTATTCTGGAAGGTCCAAACTTCATAGTACTTTAAAAATACAAGTATAACAATTCCTTCTAAAGAATAGATACTCCAGCCAGTGCCATCCTATGGACTGACCCTCTGAAACTCCAACTCCTACAAGTGCTTCTGGTTCAGAAACTGCCTCTTAAGACAATTTCTTGCCTTATTGAGAAGGACAAGCTATCTGCTATACCTCCCACACATTGAGATGGTCCACCACCACCCTCTCCAGACTGCTCATGTTCTGCTGGAATAGAAATTCATTCCGCTTTTATACTCCAGGGTTTTTTTCTATCTGGACACAAATCACCTCTCTAGCCATCAGGGATTCATGATTGCCCTCCCAATCCATAAATTGCTGATAGCTACTCTAAGCTCCAGTGACTCCAGGATTAGAATTAGCCAATTGGCCACCAGTTCAATCTGTGCTATCTTGCAACTGGAGCCCGTGGTAGATGTGCTTAAGCTTGGAAACACAATCCGTTTAGATACCTCCTTATCTATTAGCATGTCCGTACCTCATTACTGTGTCCAGAGTGTGAGCACCTCAAAATCAGACATTGCTTACCAGCCAATGTCATTAATTGTCTGTCTACAAACCTTGTCCACCTAAACTGACACCTGGACCTGGGCTTGGGCTGGGTCTGGAGGGGTCCCGAGAGCACGGCAGAATTTTTCACTCACACGCTGGGCTTGGGCTGAATCCAGAGGGGTCCAGTGGGCTCAAGTGAGCACAGAAGCTCTCTCACACACTCGCCGGGCCTGGGCTTGGGATGGGTCCGGGGGGGTCCTGAGAATGTGGTGGAAGTTCTCATTCACACGCCTGGGCCTGGGCTGATTCTGGAGGGGTTTGGAGGGCTCCCAAGAGCACAGCTAAAGTTCTCACTCACACACCAGAAACAAGGTGAGAGTGAGAAGGATAAGGACCTGTGGAATTACACAATTCAAAGCTAAAATGGCCTTTGGAGACAATCCAGAATTCATAAATAGTCAACTGTCACCAGCCTTAGGTCCGCTCTTGGGTTGCACGTTTTATGGGGTATAGCAACTGGACAACTGTAGAGTGACATGTGTCCACCATCACAGTATCATACAGAATAATATCGTGTCTCTAAACACCTTTATCTCTCCCTCGCCAACCCCTGGCAAATCAAAAAGTAAATGTTCACCCTGTGGTAACATTTGTGACCAAAGGGAATGTAGTACTTTAATAATAGCATTTCCTGCTATGTCATTAAAGCACATCTTTAATTTTCTAAAGGTGAGTCAAAAGGTACAAAGGTTTAAAATGTTTGTTCAAATTCAATTGTAATATTATAAATGTTATAAGGCTTCAAAACTTTACCCATGAAGGAAATCTCATAGTTTAAAATGTGCTACTCTAAAAATGTACCTGTAATTACACTATTGATGAGACTTCAACAATATATTTAGGCTTAATCAATAGTCAAAACATTGCTTACAAGTCTGGATTATTTTATTTCAATTAATGACATATTAAATAATGTACTATAATACCAGATTGTTTAGGGATATTTCAGTGACAAACAAATGATAACAAAGGCACCAATATAGTGATTTGGCACAGTAAAAACTCCACATTAGGGGTTTTGTTTGGTTGTTTGTTTGTTTTGTTCTTTCTTTTACCTTTTTGGTATTTTTTGGTTTGTTTTGTTTTGCTTTGTTTGGTACTAGGAATTGAACTCAGGACCTTGCACTTGTCAGACATGCTATCCCCCATCCTAGTTTTTTTGTTGTTGTTGTTTTAAAGTGGTCCTTTTAGCGCCCTTCTCTACCACCTTGTCTCAAGGGAATCTCTGGTCTCAAGGGCAACTGGGTCACATCTGTGGACTGACAAAAATGAGTTCAACAATACTTCACAGAAAATATGTTAACACTGATGATGAGTGTAAGCAAAACAGTTTCTATATCGCTTTATTATACTGTTTAAGTCTCAGTAAAACATTTTGGCTCCCTGTGGGTGATAGCGAGTCTTTTTAAAACTGTTTCTGCATAACTTATTGAACTTGTAAATATTTGTGTAGGCAACCTCTTACAAGGACTACCAAAAAAGCATTAATTACTAGTAGAGTTGTGTCCAACTTTACTACTTTGATATTAGCAGGCAGATTAAGACAAAAAGGGACCGAGATGGGTGAGTTTAAAAGGAAAAAGTCTTATTTCTTTACAGGGAAAAAAAGAATACTGGAGAGAATGAGGGAAAATATTCTATCTGTTTAAATATCTCATGTGAGGATTTTTTTCTCTTCTTTTTATTTTTCTGCCTGTGGGGAAATAAAGAAGAAAGAATGAGAGAGGAGGAAGAGGGAGAAAGGGACAGGGGAAAATAGATGTGAGGAAAGGAAGTAGAGAGAAGATGTTATGTCATTTCCTCCCCTCCAGGCCTCCGTAGAACAACTTGCTCTGGCAGCTGATGGAGACAGAGGCTGAGAGAAGCAGCTGTCCTGTTGTGAATGAAAAAGCTATAAGGACTTTACATCAAAGCAAAGCCACAGAGCAGTAAAGCCAGGATGAGCTCAGGGAGTTTAGCACCACCGCAAGCAGATAAGAAAAAGGAGCCAAAGATTTCCCTCTCTAAAGGTACAAAAGTTAAAAGAAAGAGAAGACCAGCATTAGCACAGCTATCAAGTGGGGAGAAAGAAACTTTTTACTTATACTTTTTTACTTCATGAATTAAATTTATGTAGTCTTTTAAATATGTTTTATAATACAAGTTCAAAGAGATACACATTTGATAATGATAATATAGATGATGTATTTATTTATTCATCTTTCAATGGAGCAAAAAATAAGTTTCTGAAAAACTATTCCCTAGCCAAAGTGAAATATGACCAAGAGATTGGCACTAAATTGTCATTCAGTAAGTATTTGTTGGGAAAAAATCAATATGCAAATGATTTTCTATATGAACAAATGAATGAATGCAAGTAACCTGGACTCAGAATCCTTAAAACTGCAGGAAAAAATGTGTTAAGACTGAAAAAGCAAACTCTGGTTATTGAAAACCCAAGTTGTAAACAGAAAATGCCTCCTCCTCCAGCAGTCTTGAGCATCACTCAGCTTTTAATGATAGAGTATATGCATATTTACATTAAACTAAACACATGAACTTGACAGCCTAATTTACAGTGCTTTCTCTTTACCACTTTCTTTCCTCTGAAATCTCCCAAATAAGAACTAAATGCCCAAATGTGTGCACTGCAGCGTTTCTGATATTGAATGGCAATGAACAACTTCTGTGGCATAGAACGACAAGCATTTCCTCCCAAGAAACCTTTCCAGTATGTAAAACTTGCATCCCATCTGTGTTGCTTGAGACAGAATGATTTGCCCTCCCTTACACATGCTTTGCAGTTAATCCTCTCAAAAGTGTGTCCGTAAGCCAACTAAAGAGCTCTGTGCGTTAAGGGATTTGGTCAATGACTGTGTTTTAATGACCATCAGATCACCAAACAGTGGAGTTCTTTTACCTGAAATTTCCCTCCTGACAGGAACTGCTTTAAGTATATAAGCACTGGGAGACTGGCTAGGAAGTGAAGCCAGGAGGAGAGCGTGTGAATTAGCAGCACATCAGAGCCTTGGAAACTAACCGGTATGTCTGCTTCATAGGTAGAAATGACTTTACAGAGGCAGTCTGTCTCACATTCCATTTTGAGTCTTGTATTTTTTCAAGTTAAAAATATGGTAGAGTAGGAACTTATCACACAAAGGACACATGAAAGCATAAATTAGTGGCTCTACCTGAAAGCACTGGAAATATCATATATGAACCTTTTACCATTCCCTTCCAACCTGACAGCATCTCCCTCACCACATTTGTCCTCACTGTAGTGGAATTTCTAGCCTCATCTTCATCTCCTCCGGGGGTTGTTTTGTAATTTTTACACAGATCAGTCAAAGGTCTTGAATCGGATGGATTTCCTTTAGATTTGAACCCAACACCTTTACTTTCTCACATCATCTTGAAAAAAATTGATGAATTTTTTCACAAAATTCAGACTTTTTGTGTGCAAATTCTTTTTTGTGCTAACTTTATTAAGGATACACCTTAGACTTCGAAGCCAAAGATAGAGGTACTCTATAGAAAGGAATCATTTGTGTGCATGTCTAGCAGAACCTGCTTATTCATCTGTGCTAATCTTCCCAAGTGATTCTAATGAGCATCTAATTTTGAAAACTGCAACTCACTCATTTTACACATGGGGAGACTGAGTTTTACAAAACTGAATTGATTTCCTCAAATTCATATGGTTGTTTAATATGTATAATATGCAACCTCAGGTGAAGGGACTGGGGTTCAATCCCCAACTTGATGTGCTGGCCCCAAAACACAGAAAAGTTATGTGTGCAAATTCACACAGACGAATAAGCAGGTTCTACTAGACATGCACACAAATGATTCCCTTCTACAGAGTACCTCTATCTTTGGCTTCGAAGCCTTTATTGTATCCTCAATAAAGTTCTAACTGATGAGATATGTCTCTCTTCTAAAGTATATATTTTTACCTGCAATGAGACTTAGGAAAAGAAGAGGTCCTTGGGTGCACCTAAGAGACATCATAATCTCCAGTGTGCAGAAATTAAGAGATGGGGATATAGAACCCATATTTCCTGGGTCCAATTCAGTGGAAAAAATTCTGGACAGTGAAACAATGGCTCTGAGGCTTTATGGAAATAAGCATTATTGTTCTTAAATGGCTTCAGTTTTCTCACCAGAGGCATGGGTGACTGAAGGCTGTCATGGTTTAAGTTTCTCCGGCTAGTGATCAACACACTAGCAGTTAACAAATGGAAAGGAAGTCATACATACTAGCACCTATTCAATGTCCAGGCATGCCTTTATCTACTGCTATTTCTCTTCCTTTGAGACTGTGGGTTCCTAGGTATGATACCTAAATGCATAAATAGCATAGATATGGCTACCTGGCAGCCTTACTCCACTCCAGGTCCATTCCTGCCCTTGAGTCTGAATCTAATTGTGCTGCTCCTGCCTTCTGAAGTGACCTTCTGCTCTTCTTTTCCCTCTGTGCAAACTTCTGATTCATTAAAGTCCACCTTTGTCTTAACTATCTCTACCCTGAATAATTTCTCTTGCCTGCCGTTGAATCAGTATGAGAGAGTTCAATAAGTAATCCAGTTTAGAAATTCAATTATGAGCTCCTAAGGGTAAGAACTTGCAGGAACATTTTTCTGTATCTAATCAACACTACACTGTGGCTGAGCATTATAAAATTCTTCATAAACAACTCCAGTTAGCTTGGATTTTTTTCTCTCTTGTTAAAGGGGCACCAATGAGGGGGATAGGGAAGAAAAATGCTATGGGTAAGCTAGGAATAAAAAGAGCTAATTGGAAGGTAAGCATTTATAAGAATGGGTCGAGAAGGACCTACTATAATGAGAATACATGAGTAAGTGTTCAAAGAAACAAGACCTCTACTTGAGAGAATAAGCAAGTTCTGCTAGACATGCACACAGATGATTCCATAAAA